TTTAAGGCAAAATTAAAATTTTCAATTTATGTGTAATGTGAATTGAGTTAATAATTAGCAGATGATATATGCTCAAAGGTGATTCTATTTACGCTTAAAAAAATTATTCAGCATATTTAGCTGCTCAATATTTATTATTAAATTATTTAGGATTGTAATTTTTTTTTCAATACATGGGTAGTGTTTGTTTTGAAGGATTGAGGTATGAGATTGGACTAATAGTCCATCCGGACTAATCGTCTATTGTTTGGTTCAAAATTATTGTTCTGGACTATTAATCCCTCTAGACTATTAGTCCCAAATATGTTGGACTATTGTCTTATGAGGGGGTGGGACACAAATTAAGGGATAAGGGGGATATGAGATTTGGTGGTGAAATGACTATTTTGACCCTTTATTATTTAATTATGTATTATATTTAGTAAAATTTAATAAAATTTAAATGTCTTAATTTAAAAATAAAATAATTTCATTTAATTTTTATTGACGTTTTATTTATTTAATTTTTTAAAACATTTTTTTATAGATACTTTATTGATGTTTTATTTTAAAATTTTGTTTATATTGTATTTAATTTCATTATTTAAATTTTAATAGATGTTTTATTTAATTTCATTATTCAATTATTATTATTTTCTAAAATAATTTTATTTTAAATTTTAATTAAAAAATAACATATATTTTTATTGATATTTAATTTATTTAATTTTTTAAAAATAAAATTATTTAATTGTGAAAAAAATAAAATAAAATAAATTTTTATTTAATCTAGCTAAAAATAATTAAAATATTAAAGATATGTTTAATATTGTTATTACTTAGTAAATAATTGAAAAGGATAAAATAGTCATTTGAACATTTATCTTTCTCCATAATATCCCAAACAAACATAAGATTCAATAGAATAGTATAATTTAGACATCTAATCTCATAATTAAACAAACATAGGATACAAATTCAGTCAAACTAAATAATCCGGGGACAATGTATCCCAAGACTAACCGTCTGATGAATTCCAATCCCTCCTTATTCAGTCCATCCAAACAAATATATTTTTCATAAATTACACTTCAAGATAAAATCATAATTTGTACTATATCAAAATAATAAACAAATCAATTCAAATATGACTCCCTCACTCTCTTCATTTTCTCTTAGCCACGCGGCTTCTTCACTATTGTTATTGGGAAATACTGAAGAAGAACACAAAGACGAAGAACATAGGCAATATAAACCCACCAAACTATTACTTGCCTTCGTACTACCTAAATTCAACAGAAACAATGTGGATTTTGTGGTTGGTTCCAATGATTGTGATGGCAAAGTGAATATGTTCATTGTCATCATATTTGTCAACGATTGCCATAAAAATAATTTAGGTTTTGAAAGGGGTTTTGTCGTCAAGTTTTTTAGTAGATTCTCGTTTGAACCTCTTGAGGAAAACTCTGTGTGTAGTCCCTCTTCTTCTACATAATGTTTGCTTATTTATCCATATTGTGAAACTGTGTTAATTGTTGTTGTTTTCAATCTGGTTTTGGATTTGATTCATTGATATATTTATCGATTTTTTGTTGAAATATCTGATTAAGATAATCCATTCTAGGAGTGTAAAAATGACCCGCAGTTTGTGCGCTGCCCGAATCCCGCCTGCTCTCGGGAGTAGGTTGGTCCGTTTAGGTCCATTTGGGTTCAAACCCAGCCTAAAACCCTAGGCCTAGGTCTGGCCCATCATTTTGAAACCAGGCTAGCATGGCCCCGTCTAGTCCATCGGCCCGTTTAAGGCCCACTCAAGACCTAACCCGTCCGAGGCCCAGTGTATTTTTTTGTGAAAAATAATCAAATTTTGATAGAAAAAAAAATGTTTAGGCCCGCCTAAGCCGGATGCAAGCCCAGGCCCTACCGACTCGCCTAAGGCCCGAATACTCTTTAAGCTTGGGCCTAATTTTCTGCCCCGTAACCTAACCTGTCTCGAATTTTGGCGGGAGTTTGCGAGAGGTCGGGCCAAATTTACATCCCTAATCCATTCTAATTGTAGATTGAAGTGAAAAAAGGTTTATGGGTTTGTAAAGAGAAAAAGTGGGAAAGGAGATTGAAAAGAGAGAGTGGGGGAAGGATTTGTGTGTTTGAAGAGAGAGAAAGCTATGAGAAAAAATAATGATATTGATGATAATTGTGAGTTTTGGTGAGGTGAAATTTGAGTTTTGGAGTGAGGAATAAGATAAACTAGGGCGGAGCAAGGAATCCGTGAAATCCGTAATCCGATCCAGTTCAGTCCAATCCGATAGGTTTGGATTGGTTTTTTGAATCCGCGGTTCGGTTCCGTTGTGCGCTGCCCGAATCCCGCCTGCTCTCGGGAGTAGGTTGGTCCGTTTAGGTCCATTTGGGTTCAAACCCAGCCTAAAACCCTAGGCCTAGGTCTGGCCCATCATTTTGAAACCAGGCTAGCATGGCCCCGTCTAGTCCATCGGCCCGTTTAAGGCCCACTCAAGACCTAACCCGTCCGAGGCCCAGTGTATTTTTTTGTGAAAAATAATCAAATTTTGATAGAAAAAAAAATGTTTAGGCCCGCCTAAGCCGGATGCAAGCCCAGGCCCCACCGACTCGCCTAAGGCCCGAATACTCTTTAAGCTTGGGCCTAATTTTCTGCCCCGTGACCTAACCCGTCTCGAATTTTGGCGGGAGTTTGCGAGAGGTCGGGCCAAATTTACATCCCTAATCCATTCTAATTGTAGATTGAAGTGAAAAAAGGTTTATGGGTTTGTAAAGAGAAAAAGTGGGAAAGGAGATTGAAAAGAGAGAGTGGGGGAAGGATTTGTGTGTTTGTAGAGAGAGAAAGATATGAGAAAAAATAATGATGTTGATGATAATTGTGAGTTTTGGTGAGGTGAAATTTGAGTTTTGGAGTGAGGAATAAGATAAACATAAAGATAAAGATAAAGATAAAATAATTAAAACTTGAAAAAAAAAGAGATGAAGATGTTGAATATGAAAAATATGTATAAGTTATTAGTGTGTATCATAGAAAAAAAATATTTTATTTTAAAATTTAATATATATTATCTTTATTAATAAATTTATATTAGGGTATAAAAATTTTAGTTAGACTAAATTACTATTTAGGGGTATTTTTTTAAGGTCCCTGATATTATGATTTTCTAGTATAAAGGATATCAACTATTTTCATCATGTCTAAGGTCCCTCAATATCAATCCAGAGAAATTTCAGTCCTAGAGAAAATTCGATCCAGAGAAAATTTACATCACAGAGAAATTTGATTCGGAGAAATTCTGAATTTCTTTGAACTTCCCAGTGATTTGAGAAAGGAAGGGAAAATTAGAAAATTGATTCAGATCTGTCATCTCTCGAATTTTCTCTGATTTGAGAAAGGAAGGGAACTATTGGCTGCCAATTCTCAAGCAACCAATAGTTCTTTCTCTAGTTTTGCATTCTGTAGAGAGAGCTTTGTGACTTCACCAGCCACATTCTTCAACTCAACGGCAGTAGCAGAGGCCAGTTCCTTTGCATAAGAAGCTTCTTGAGACAATTTTTTATTCTGTACATGTAAACCACTGTTCTCCTCTAAAATATGAACATGTTCTACAATTAGTTTCTCATTCTCAATTTCTTGCACAAAGAAACATAACCATCTATGTAAGGTCCATTATGCAAAAAAAACTATAAAACCCACATCAGTTCATTCCGAAGTCAGAGAATTTGGTTAAAACACATTCCAAAGTCAGAGAAATTCCGAAGTCAGAGAAATTCAAAATTTCTCTAAAGATAAATCTAGAATTTCTCTGGAGAGAAATTCTGAAGTCCAGAGAAATTAAATTTCTCTGGACCAATTTTCTCTGGATTTAATTTCTTAGATATAGCAAGAGATGATGTTAAATTTGTGGATGTTACTTGTCCATCATCAGTACAATTGGTGCCTTCTGCCAAGAAGCATTTACATACATCTTTCATCAGCTTCACCACAGAGAAACCAGCTTCACCACAACGCATCCACGGCCACGTTATGGTCACCACACAGTGTAACAGCAACAGCAACACTGGTTTCCACAAACCAACGTAGACCTCTACCGAAGTCAACAACTACCCCCTAGGAGAGAGAAGCTCACAGGACCACCATGGAAACCACCTTGCAGGTGATGGTCTCGTCCTCTGCCGACTTTTTCTTGCAGATCATGCAAATGCCATCTCCGTCGTAGGGGAGGTCGAGGTATCCGAAGATTAGCTGACCGATGACGGTCCCTAAGAGTGCGATGGCAACCATGGCGGAGGTGATGGCGATGGGGACTGAGTTACGGCGAGAACGGCGACAATCGATCCAAAGATTACCTGACCGATGACGCATCTCATCTTCGACCAATCGATCCACAATGTTTAGTTGGGAGAGAAAACCTGGAAGTTGAAGCTGGGAAGAGGAGGGAGCTCGTTGAGGAAATCAGAGGGTTTCTTGGAGCTGCGACGCATCTCATCTTCGACCAATCGATCCATCTCTTCTTTGACTTCGACCAAATTTCTCTGATACATGTTTAGGGATCTTAGACATCAAAAAATAATTTTGTAAATCTCTTCCATTACGAAAAGTGTGAGAGGGACCCTAGACCAATTTTCCCTACTATTTAAATGTAAATGGAATCACTCAAATCAGTATTTTGTGTAAATAAATAAAACTTTCCTATGAGATTAGATTAGTAATCCCAGTCTCTCCATAGAAAGTCAGGTGAGATTGCTAATTCTATTTAGGTTTTTGAGAAACAAGTTTAAGAATTGAGTTTTTTAAAATAATTTTTAATATTTTATATAAAAAAAAATACAAAAAATAATAATTTAATAATTTATAATGAGTATTTGCCTAAAAAATATCCATTTCCAAACAAAGGCTTAAATTGGACCCACATATTAGCAATCAAACCCTAATGAAACATGGCCTATGGTCTCACCTTCAATCTTTTAACCAAAAACCCTAAACCCCTCTTTCATTTGTGCTAGGTATGTCTGTTCCCGTGTCCCGCCGTCTCCACTGCCTCTTCACCGCCAAACCCACAGCCTCATTCACCAAACCCTCCACCACCTTCAACCTATCGCCGCCCTCTTCCGCCTCCAACTTACTACCCAAACCTCCCAAACCCACCACCACTTCCCCATCCGCCTCCGACTCACTACCCAAACCTCCCAAATCCACCACCACTTCTCCCTCCTCCTCCGACTCTTCTGAAGATAAAAAACTCAAAACCCTTGTCAAGAAATTCAAGAAAGCCTCCGAATCAGCCCAGTTTCGCCGCCGCAACAGAGACTACGGAATCACCGTCCTCCGCCTCGCCGCCGCCCGGAAGTTCTCCTACATCGAAGACATCATCGAACACCAAAAGAAGTACGATATCATCACCAAAGAAGGCTTCACTGTGCGCCTCATTGGTCTCTATGGCAGGGCTGGCATGTTCGATCATGCCCACAAACTGTTCGACGAAATGCCCCAACTGAAATGCGAGCGCACCGTGTTGTCTTTCAATGCCCTCCTCTCTGCTTGCGTGAATTCGAAGAAATTCGATAAGATTGGCGAGCTTTTGAAGGATTTACCGGCGAAATTGTCGATTAGTCCTGACGTGGTCTCGCACAATACGGTTATTAAAGCGTTTTGTGAAATGGGTTCTTTCGATTCTGCGTTTGCGGTGATCGATGAGATGGAGAAGAATGGATTGAAGCCTGATTTGGTTACTTTCAATACACTTCTCAATGCTTTTTACAAGAATGATAGGTTTTCTGATGCAGAGAAAGTGTGGGCATTGATGGAAGACAAGAATGTTGTCCCCAATGTGAGAAGTTATAATCCAAAGCTGCGAGCTTTGGTGGCTGACAATCGAATTTCCGAAGCAGTTGAGTTGTTTGAAGAAATGGGAAGCAAAGAAGTTAAGCCAGACTTGTTCAGCTTCAATGCTTTGATCAAAGGGTTTTGTGATGATGGGAATATGGAGGAAGCCAAGAAATGGTACAAAGAACTGTCGAAAAATGATTGTAACCCAAATCGTGTGACATTTACAATGCTTGTTCAGCTTGCTTGTGAGAAGGGTGATTTTGATTTCGCTCTCGAGTTGTGCAAAGAGGCAATCAGTCAGCGATGTCTTGTTGATCGGGAAGTGAAACAACTCGTGTTAGATGGATTGGTCAAGGAATTGAAGATGGAAGAAGCAAAGGAGCTTGTTGAGCTTGGCAAGTCAAACAGTTACTTCGATTATAAACTGGAATTGCCTTCAGACAAATAGTCCAATTGGGTTATTTTTCTAAGTTAATCGAACATATGTCTTTATATTGTTGAAGTTAATTATGTAACTCAATTTTCGCATGAAGTATGACATAGAAGCCAATTTCACAATGAAGGAAAATTTCATAGTTTTTGACATCCTTGGCTGAAAATTTGTCAGATTAGTAAGTAACCTGTTATGTGGTTATAATGTTCTTATCTTCTGTAGTTGTAATATTTTTTTGTGGTGTGGTTATGCAAAATTCTTGGACCAAATGGATTGACATGTGGCCAAACAAGACAAAAGGCACTAGTTGGAATCAAAGAATCATGTGAAGTTTGGTAGGTTGATGGGAAACCTCATTCTGAACAAGATTCATCACTTTGCCATGGACCCCAGCAGAATTTTGAGCAAATTCCATCATTTAGACTGTCAATTTCAAGATTTTGCTATTTTTGAAATGTTCTGCAATTTCAGTTACTCTTTAGTATAGAAGTCAGAATTCATTTCCCTTGAATTTGCCTTTATCATGGTAGTCTAAGAGCATCATTATCAAGCTCATTAGAGCATTCTCTTGGCTATTTTATAGTACAAAACTATAGAAACATATTCCATCAAACTCAATTATTGGCTAGCTACTTTAGTTGAATATCAAACTACTAACTACATGTAGCTAGGAAAAAAGAACTCAACATATGAAATAAAAAATAAAGAGTTTGTTGGAGAATGTATTTGAAAAGATGGTTAGCTAAAATAGAAAAATAGACTTTTAGTTAAAATTTAACTAAAAATTTGACTATTTTGATGGCGATGCTCTAAATTAGTAGCTTTTTTTTTTTTTTTTTTTTATGTTTCAATGTTTCCATTTTTGTTAATTTTCATAATATTTCCATATTTTTTTGTCTAGCTAGTTAAGGAATTGCTAATTTCGGTTGTTTTGCAGTATCGTTCGGCCTGCTTTCCATTATAAATAATTATTGTAAGCCTTACAATTTCGAGTTTATACTCTTCTTTTAATCTTGAATATTTGTTTTGAATCAATCATTGTTAAGCCTTTGTTTCTAGTACTTTTTTGTGAATCAACGAGTTTATAGAACGATTTATTCTTGAATCAATGGATCCCAAGATCGATACCCTACTTTCTCTATTTTATGTTTCTGCTACTACATCATATAGTATTTATTTTTGCATTTGTTTGGATTATATGATGTGTCAGTGTATTTGTTAGTGTCAGCTGCCAATTTTTGGCCGGCTAAAAATATTGTTTTGTGTTGCAATGGAGCTGTTAAGAGCATCTCCAACGGTGAACCAAAATTTTCACCAAATTTGAGTAAAAAAAGTCAATTTTCTCAATCTGATAAGGCTTGTTCCAACCGTGCATCAAAAGGGACGTGGTCAACCGGTTGGTCGACCAATTTTTTTTTTATAAATTTTTTTTGAATTGTTTGAACCAGTAGTTTGAACCATTTGAATCAGTTCGCAGGCCAATTTTTGCATGAGCCGGTCGACCGGTTGGTCAACTTGGTGGTCGACCAGGGGGTCAACCACTTAGTGTAAAATTTTCACAAATTTCTGCTTTAACGGCTATGCACAGTGAATTGGTGAAAGTAGCAAGCCGTTTTCAGTTTGGTGAAATCTTTGATATTTTCCCAATTTGATACCAATTTACTGAAACCATTGGAGCTCTAAAAAGTGACTATTTCACCAAATTTCAAATCTGATGCAAGGTTTGATGAACCGTTGGAGATGGCCTAAGGGATGTGTTAGTGTCAGCTGTTAACTTCTGTGTTAACTGCCGCAATGCTTCTAGCCAGTTGAGAGAGAGAGAGAGGGAGAGAGAGAGAGAGGAGAGGGGACGCTGGGAAGTGCAGTGGATTGTCTGGCCGGACGTCCGGACCCTTGCTGTTAGCCTCTGAATACATTTGTTCAGTTAACTGTTTTTTTTGGCCGACCGAATGGTTTTATGGCCTGCTAACTGGTTTTATGTGACAAAACAAAAAGCAACACATTGAAGAAGAGTTGTAGGCTTGAAAGCTATTCATTTATTTTATTTATTATATATATACACACTTAACCCATATCTTAACACACACCTTAACACATCCATTGTATCACCACTCATTCTCTAAAATTAACAAACTCTTAACACACCTTAACATATATTTTTGGGCCCTACTTTTATCACTTTTTGTCATATAACACACTTTAGCAAACAATTTTAGCCATCCCATTGTGGATGCTCTAACAGTATTAGTCTGGTATACTCTACTAAGGAAAAATAGCAATATTTAAGTACTTTCATTGAATCCTTAGAGAGAAACACTATCATGGAACATTGACTTCATATGCTCCTCAAGGATTGGGAGGTTACGATTGTCATCATAGCAGTACATCAAAGGAACCATCCTTGCAGTATTAAGACAACCCTGGGTGAAATTGGCAGAAAATCGATTTGGAGACAGGCAATCCCGGTTGAGTCGCTTCCATGCATCTGAAATCATGTCAACAACTTGCTTTCTTGCGGTTTCAGCTGTAGAGCCCTCGTGCTCCTTCATGTAGCAATCTACATAGGATCCATCGTGACCGTCTTGATTCTCATCCTGTCAGTTTAAGTCCAAGCTTATATTAGAGCTGAACCGAATATAAATGGTTCATGTAAGGAAATGAAAATCTCTGCTAAACACAAGCACTTTTTTATTTTTATTTTTAATTTTTTTTTAATTTTTTTTCCCTAACATGCTAAGAACTTTTTAGAAGGCTTGACATTGAGTGAACTTTTTATGATTGAACTTTGACAAATGGCCCCGGTGGGTGATGTGTCATACTTTTTGTTTGTCTAATGGTGGCCCTACTGTAGGGGAAAATTATGTGTGAATGGACTCAAACGCAAATAGGGCCACCATTTTCCGAAATGCTTTCACAATTTCTTTTCCTTTTTGTGCAATCCATTCTCATGTTTGTGGTGTCTGCACTAATGGCTCTGTTTCATTATCAGGGGCCATGACAATTCTCATAGTTGTTATGGTGTCTGAATCAATGGCTCTGTTGGATTACATCATGTGGGACCATTCAGCCAGAGTATGTTACCAGCCGACACTGTCTACATCTGCCAGTGCCATTATCAGTGTAGGCCTTGCTAATGCCTCCTTGTAGGTCAGAATGTGGCCCTCTAATTTACTTGATATTTTTGGGTGGTTGGCTTTACATTAGGACAACATTTTATCTTCATTTACGTGGTCCATGAAAATAATATCTTAATAGAAAATGAACTTTGTGTTACCTTGGCACTTCCCAAGTCATCCCAAAGACGGAGAATTGTAGCTGTAGAGGTTATGATGTCAGGATTGTCGATTATAAAATCGACACTTTCCTTGTTCATTCCATGACCCAAGAGAAAGAACATGTGAACTAACACCGCAGGCACACCTGAACTAACAATCCCATTCTTCAAGTACTCTTCTGCTTTTGGCAACTGCCCAGAAGCAAACCATTTCGCTTCTTCTAAGAACGCGTTGCACAAAATTGCCCACTGCAACAATCAAGGATTTTGTTAAAGCTAATCCATTTGTAATTCTCACAAACTATCTAATAGAATCCTAAGTATGCACATGACATAATTTGCTGGTAATATTATGATATACCGTTCTTCGCAGAGAATCGATGGGGTTCCAACCATACTTTTTGTGGACCCCATAGGCAATTTCGTTTGTGCTGTCATGAAGAACCTTGAAACAAATCTTCAAATAGCCGGGTAGTTCGTTAACAGCTGCTAGTTCCCATCTGCTTGCAGTAACTACTGGTTAGTGTTACAGAATTGAAAATCTTGAAGATGAATACAGTGATGATGATGATGGAGGAGATGCATACCTATTGACAGCCTCTGTGAAGAGGATAAGTTCTTCTAGTGTGCCATAAACATCAAAAATGTCATCTATTATGTGGACAAGAGAGATGGGTTTTGTGAGCTCAACTCTTTGCTCTGATAAGCTTGGGTCAGTGAGGGTTGCCATAGACCACAGGTACCATTTTAGTGGTTGGTTTCTTGCATTCTTCAACTCATTGCCCAAACCTGTGCTTTTCCACCATCTGAGATGAAAAAATCATACATAAGCAGTGAATAATCTCCATTCTTGAACGGCCAAGGATCTTCTGCACTAAAAAACCTTGTCCGTAGGATCCTTTGACTGGGAGTATATTAGGAACAGTGGACACGAATTTTCAGGACAAAAAATCATGTCCTTTTCAACACATTTAGCATGTGTTTGGATCTTGAGTTCGAGTAGAGATTTGTAAGTGGAAAGAAAAGAAAAGGGAGAAGTGACAAAAAATGGCCAGGGATCTTCTGTCTTCAAAAACCTTGTCCCTAATACACTTCCAACCTAACAATTTGACGTGAATCTCAAAATACTACAATCTTGAGGCACGATCATGTGATTAGAAGTGCATTAGGGACAGGGGCACATGAATTTTAAGGACAGAGAATCCTATGCCCTCTTGAACACACTAGTACCACAATTAAAACAAAATTAAAGCCAAACTTACTTGGAAACTTGAAGCATTTCCTTCTGGTACATGGACGGAGACATATTGAAATCAATTTTTGCTAGTTCTTGCAGGACATTTGCATTGGGGCCATTGTAATCACTGAGGAAGTTCTTGGCCATGAACTTTGCCAGGCTCTTGTGTTGGGGATGCCTTAGTGTGTTGCTGATAACTTTGGCTTGATGATGATTATCAAGATGTGTCAACCACCCATTAAGTTGTTGGGCACTGAAGTCTGCAGCTTGATCAAGTATGTCTTCTCCTTCTATGCTTAGCTGTGATGCTTCATATAATCCCATTAACCCTCTAATGTCTTCACTTAGTTCTGTTTTGAACCTTCCATCCTTGTCCTTGAACTTGTCAAACACATCTGTCCCAATACCAATCAACTTGTTAACTACTGTAATGAGGATGATTGTGGATAGAAGACGAAATTATTGCTCTGTTTGTTTCAACGGGAAATATTTTCTGAAAAACAT